GAACCGCAGTCGACTACATGGGAGTCCAGCGACATAGCCATTACGCTAACTGCTGGTCCCTATGCATTTACTTTTTATTTTAAAGAATTATTTAACTTCATTTATTTTACTTATTTATTTTAATTTGACCAGAGGGACAGAGAGAAAGACGAAGTGAGAAAGAAAGCCACCAAGTCTGGGACTCGAACTGCAGTTGGTCATGTGGGAGTCCAACGCCCTTGACTACCACGCCACCTGCTGGTCCCAGAAAAAGTTTTACATAGAAAAAAAAAAGTGCATAGAAAAAATAGCTCATGACTTTGCCGATAGCCCGTCTGTGCCCTCTGCTCTCTTACCGGTAGAGCTCAACTTTGTCACGCTTGTAGAAGCGCAGAAAGAGCATGTGGATAGGCAGCCCCACCAGCCGCCAGCGGGCTTGCAGCGTCCAGTTCTCAGGGTGGCGGGTCAGCTGCAGAACCTCCAGACGAAGCTGCGCGAAATAGTTCCAGGCCAGGAAGCGGCACAGGGTCAGAGATACGATGTACCACGTCCGGCCCCTGTGAAGGAGTGGGGAGGCGTATAATGGCAGTCAGAAAGCCAGACTGACTTGTCTGAGGGAGTGGGGACCGTGACATGCAGCCTGGGACCTCCTCTGGGAAGGGAAGAGGGTTAATTCTAGCACTGGGTTCTTCGGCTCCCGGGGGCTCTAGCCGTGTCCCAGTTCTCACTTGGTACGCAAGCTCAGGATCTCATTGATGAACTCCACGTCCGATGAGTAGAGTGTGTAGTCGTGGGAGTAAAGGAAGAGGTTGGGAAGCTAGGTGGAAAGAGACAGTATCAACTCGGGAAGAAATCTTACTTTTCAAATGTTCTATTTTTAGGGCCTCCTTACTCCCCTGAGTAAAAGATCATGCTATCCCATTTAACCTCCCTTAAGCAAACTGAAGAACATCTTTTCCTGGGAAAACTAACACATTCCTCTTCCTACTTTATGCGTCTACAAAAGAATTGGGTTGGCCAGGCCCTCTCGGTATCTGGATTACCTACAGCCCTTCCCCTGCAGACAAGGCCGCGGTCGAGTCCACTTACCTCCTGTCTCAGTCTCTCGTACATGACAGCCAGGTGCTCCTCCATACTAGGATCTCCTGACGGGGTGGCAGGGGAAGGGTGGGCAGGTCCAGGGGCTTGGAAAGGTATCAAAGCCCCAGAATAAGGGCAGGGAGGACCCTCAAAAAGGCTCCTAAGCCCATCCAGGCAGCCGCTGTGCAACTCAGGACCTGGTCCCTCCTCCCCCTTTCCTGGAGGGAGAACCACCCACGGTGAGCTGAGGGCCTGGACCTGAGGGAGAGGTAGTGGGGGAGCCAGGGGAAGAGGCCAGGTGGGAGGCCGTAGGGGTGGGGGAGACCGGAGAAGAGTAGGCGATGGGGAAGTGGTTGTCGTGGAGTGGGGCCAAAGGGGTGGGAATGGCAGAGTCCTCTGAGAAAGCTGGTCCTAGGGAGGCAGAACAAAGGAAAAAGACTTAAGAGCCCCGCTGCCAAAGGCGCTCCATCCAAGTTCTGCTCCAGCCTCATTAATCCCATCCACCTACTCAGAAGAGGTGAATTTACTACAAGAAAAAACGGATGGGTTTCATCTCTACTGAAAACAGGAGACAGTTTCATGTGACACAGATTCAAGTACCTCCCAAAAATATTAGCAGTTTTTGTAGAAGTTTTTGCCTTCGGAGAATGTGCTTGCTAGAGAGAGAGAGTGAGAGGGAGAATGAGAAATCAGCCCGGGGGGGATGGCCACACCGCAATCCCTGCTACATTCTCCTGGAATCTTAGGCACACATGCACATGCCCCTGGTGTAAGTTTCAAGCCACTGGGTCTGGGACTTGAACCCACGTGGAGTCCAGTGATGCAACCGCTATGCCATCTGGTAGTCCCAGCAAACACTTTTTTTTTTTTCTCAGATTTTTGCCATAGGGCACATGCTCTCACCAGAGGAAGGAAAAGTGAGAAATCACCTCCCGGGGATTGGTCACTGTGCAATCCCTTCACCTCCAGTCTGCTCTCAGGATTTTGGGCAGGCAGGCATACACATGCATGATTTTCAGGACACTGGATCCAGGACTCAAACCAGGTTCAGCTATGTGGGAACCCAGTGCCCTAACCACCACGCCCCCTGCTGGCCCATGAGCAAACACCTTTATATTTGTTAGAGAATCCACACTGGAATCAGCTCCCCACCTAGAGCGAGGCTCCTGTAAGAACACATATTTGGGGGCGAGCAGCTGGGCCGGTGGTTGAGGCGCTGGATTTCCACATGGTCCTGGCAGTTCTCACTTTCCCTCTCTGCTGAGCACATATGCCCTAAGGGCAAATTAATAATAATGAAACAACTAAAAACGAATACACATTTGATGAATAAGAGCTTTGATTGTTCTGTGGTGAAATGTGGCCCACAGCATCTCCACCACTAAGTGTGCAAGGCAAACGCACAGAGAAATGACCAATTCCAATCCTATCCTGTGGCCACTCGCATTCCCTACTCCCCCGGTTCCTAAAGGAGGGCAATGACAACGCCTCACCAGGTAGCAAATGACACTGCAGCGAGGCAAGCAGCACAGAAATGGAAGCTGTGATCGTGTCAGGGCTCCTCTAACGACACACCCGCCCAGGAGACACGGCTGGACTCCGTTCTCCAGTTCACTGATGTTGAAACTCAAGTACGGAGGTCACCCAGGGTCGGACCCGAGTCCCTCCGCTCCCTAGGAACGCCCCGAGGCCTCACTCCGGGGAAGCCGGGCGTCGGTCCCCGACGGTGTCCCCCGGGTGCCGTCTCTGCCGTGGCCATCGTGCCCGAACTGGGTCTCCCCGGGCCGGCCTTCGTGCCGGGACCGCTCTCCGGGCACAGGATGCGCGGGCTGCAGAGCGCGGGCCGCGGGTGACCCCGGCGGCGCCGCGGCGGGGGGGGGGCGCCCCGCCC